GAGCTCTGGACTGCGCCAGAACCATGGAGCTCTGGACTGCGCCAGAACCATAGAGATCTGGACTGCGCCAGCACCATAGAGCTCTGGACTGCGCCAGAACCATGGAGCTCTGGACTGCGCCAGAACCATAGAGCTCTGGACTGCGCCAGAACCATAGAGCTCTGGACTGCGCCAGCACCATGGAGCTCTGGACTGCACCAGAACCATAGAGATCTGGACTGCGCCAGAACCATGGAGCTTTGGACTGCGCCAGAACCATAGAGATCTGGACTGCGCCAGCACCATAGAGCTCTGGACTGCGCCAGAACCATGGAGCTCTGGACTGCGCCAGAACCATAGAGCTCTGGACTGCGCCAGAACCATGGAGCTCTGGACTGCGCCAGAACCATAGAGATCTGGACTGCGCCAGCACCATAGAGCTCTGGACTGCGCCAGAACCATAGAGCTCTGGACTGCGCCAGAACCATGGAGCTCTGGACTGCACCAGCACCATAGAGATCTGGACTAGGCTGATGGTCCTTCTTGAGCATGTGATCAGCTGGTTCTGGTTGTCAGCAGCAAACTGGTTGATCCACTCTGAGAAGGTGCTATTTAAGAGACTGAGCTGAATATAGCACCTCAGACTGAGGAAGTCTCTTGGATGAGAGACGAAATGGTTCTACATTTTTTTGCTTTGTTTTGTTTTTTGTTTTTTTGAATGTCCAGAGGACCAGATTTAACTTTTTTGGATTTTTCTACCTGGATTATTGAGCATGCGTCAGGACACGTATTAAAAAAGGCTAAAGTAGCATTAGGAGGCAGGAACAGAAGCAGCAGCTGAAGCAGATTTCAAAGAGAAAAATGTTTTGGAGGAATTTGAAGCAATCTGAATCCAACATGAGTGGTCAAAGCTGGATGACTGGGGCGGCTGTGGCTGAGTGGTTAGAGCAGTTGCCCTCTAATGGGAGAGTTGGGGGTTCGATTCCACCAGCAGTCACATGCTGAAGTGTCCCTGGGCAAGACACTGACCCCCGCATTGCCTCCGATGTGTCCCATCAGTGTATGAATGTGATACAGCTCTGATTATAGTAGAGAGCAGTATGAATGTGTAAACGAGGCACAGGTTGTTGTAAAGAGCTTTGAGTGTCTGGATCAGATAGAAAGGAGCTGTATAGGTACAGTCTAGAGTTATATGCTGCTGGTGCAGTCCAGAGCTCTATGGTGCTGGTGCAGTCCAGAGCTCGATGGTGCTGGTGCAGTCCAGAGCTCTATGCTGCTGGTGCAGTCCAGAGCTCTATGGTGCTGGTGCAGTCCAGAGCTCTATGGTTCTGGTGCAGTCCAGAGCTCTATGGTGCTGGTGCAGTCCAGAGCTCGATGGTGCTGGTGCAGTCCAGAGCTCTATGCTGCTGGTGCAGTCCAGAGCTCTATGCTGCTGGTGCAGTTCAGAGCTCTATGCTGCTGGTGCAGTCCAGAGCTCAATGGTGCTGGTGCAGTTCAGAGCTCTATGGTGCTGGCGCAGATTGAACTTTTTTGGATTTTTTAATACATTCTGCTGCTTTTAACTTCCAGCTACTGTTCTGCTACTTTCAGCTAGCCTTTTGTTATTTTTGACTTCCAGCTACTCTTCTAATTTTCTATGTTAGCTACTGTTCTGTATTTTTTTAGCTAGTCTTTTGCTACTTTGAGCTAGCATTTAGTCTTTTTTTCTTTTAGCTTTAGCAGCTCAGTTTGAGCTTCTTTAACTAACTTCAACTGTTATTCAGTTTTCTGTTTGTCCTCTTTCTGACAGACCGAACTGGTGCTGCTGGAATGGTCCGGTCCAGTCCCAGTGACTGGGCTCTCCTGGTCCTGCAGGCCCCCTGTCAGCTGCCTCTAGCCCCGCCCCCTCCCACCCTGTAAATACCTCAGGCCTCCCTGGTCCAGATTTAGAGCCCAGTCTTTCCCAGACTGTTGGACCCAGCTGTCCAAAGATTCACAGATCCTCTCAGCAGACCCTGTTTCCTTCAGGTACTGGTCTTTCTCCTCTTCTTCAGTTCCTGATCCTGCTCCTCTCCTTCAGGTCCTGGTCTTTCTCCTCTTCTTCAGTTCCTGGTCCTGCTCCTCTTCAGTTCCTGGTCTTTCTCCTTTTCTTCGGTTCCTGGTCCTGGCCCTCTTCTTCATGTCTGCAGTCCTTGGTCTCCAGCAGTTCCTCCTCTGAGATGATGTCAGACCCTTAGACCTCTGTCTGGTGACCCTGGTTCCACTGAGGCAGACCTCAGCCATGGAGCCTTTTGCTGAGGTAAGACACCTTCCAGACCTCCTCAGTCTGAGTCCAGACTTTGTTTCATCCTTCAGCTCATCTGAAGCTGAAGGTCCAACATTTCTTCATTAACTACATGAACTTCCCTCTGAGCATCGACCACCAGCTCTGCTCAGTGTCTCATCATCTGAGCTGCCTCCCTTGTCTTTACCTGCTTCTCCTGTCTGAGTCATGAGAGGTTGGTGTCCATGTCCAGCAGTGTGAGATGGGGGACACCCTGGACAGTCCACCACAGGGACACACGGAGACAAACAACCATTCACTCTCAACTTTGAGACAGTTCATTTGGATTCTTAGGAGTGATTTTATTTTTGGACAGCTTCCGTCCTCCTGGGCTGAAGCTCTCCTGTCATGTCCTCCTCGCCTGTGGAAGTGAAGGCCACCAACATCAGCTTTAACTTTGTTTTGATTTTTCTTTACACTTCTTATGCACTTCAGATGTCAAGATGTGGACTTTTTCCAGAGTTTAGAATTTTACAAAGTTGTGTTGGAATTTGGGGACCCTAGAACGTTTCTGCAGTAATCTTCTAATTTAGCTGTTAGTCTCATAAACAACTTGTCTTCACTTACACTGCACTGCACTGCTTTCTTCACTGCACTCAACAGGGGCAACAGCTATTAGAAACAGAATGAGCAAAAGTAGAGAGCAAATATTTTAATATGACACAAACTAAAGGAAATGGTAAAATTCATTATTTACACAAGTTTTTTTTTCTGTAAATTTATGGTCAGTGTTGAAGTTTTCTTTTGAAACTCTCATTAACTGTTTGCTGATCCTCTTTTAGGTCCCGTTGTTTGAGATGGATGAGGATGAGGTGGAGGACATTCTGTCCATGAAGAACAAAGGTAAACAAAATATGCTTAGATATACAAATACAAAAAAAAAAAAAGAAAGCCATCAATAATTTTACCTCAGTGAAGCAGTCAATACAAGTTTTTAAAGAAAAGAAAGATTGAGCTTCAAATTTAGGTAGATCTGCATGTCATCTGTGTAGCAAATAAACAAGATGCTTTCTAAAGATGGAGCCTGAGGGAAGCATGTTGATATAAAATAAAATGGGACCATGAATAAATCCTTGTGGAACACCACATGGGAGGGTGGCTGAAAAGGAAACAAATTCTCTGAGGTTTAAAGGAGAAACTCCTGTCAGACAATCTGGTGTAGAGACTTTGATACCACAGAGATCCATCATATGGTATGGTTTAATATGGTATGGTTTAGTATGGTACGGTTTAGTATGGTGCGGTTTAGTATGGTATGGTTTAGTATGGTATGGTTTAGTATGGTACGGTTTAGTATGGTATGGTTTAGTATGGTACGGTTTAGTATGGTATGGTTTAGTATGGTATGGTTTAGTATGGTATGGTTTAGTATGGTATGGTTTAGTATGGTATGGTTTAGTATGGTGCGGTTTAGTATGGTATGGTTTAGTATGGTACGGTTTAGTATGGTACAGTTTAGTATGGTGCGGTTTAGTATGGTATGGTTTAGTATGATATGGTTTAGTATGGTATGGTTTAGTATGGTATGGTTTAGTATGGTA